CTCGTTACATTGTCGGCTCTGTAAGTTACCCGACTTAAGCAAGGAGCTTAAACCTGTGTACAAATAGACCTACACTTCTGACGTTAAACACACAAAATAATGCCATTAACAAAACTGTCACGATGTGAATTTGTTAAAAGCCAACGGTTAATGACCTTCGTATTTTGGACAGTCAGCCAAATCTGTGCCCTGTACGAAAGTTCTCATTCTTTTATTTCCACTGCAAATAAAAATATCTGCTCAGGTTTAAGAAACAGCGTGTCGTTCTATCCGAGTTAAATCCTTCGTTGATTTTTTTATTATTTCCTTTATTTTAATATGATTTTCTGAATGAAAATGTTAAGTTATCAGTATTCTGAGACGACATGCATCAACATTTTAAATTCAAATGCCTTTTACAAATATAATAACATTTTTACGAAGTTATGACAATATTTTGTGGGATATTGTCCAAAATATATGGAATATATTTAGGATTTGAGGTTTTTACGACGGTAAGTACGAAGATGGATGACTTCTGGGTTGCTACGACGTGTAGTCTGGTAGATGTTTCTTACCTTTTTAACTGAAAACTAAATTTGATCGAATTACTATTGAAAGTCTATTGATATATTTAATAAGAAATTGGTTTTGTTATAAAAATGTCCTTGTTTCGCACTGGATGCATTTGTGTTTAACTTTCGTCATAGCCACATAAGTTCTAGATAATTATATTATCAGATGAACCACGCCATATAAAAACAATACCTTCGTTCTAATATATAAGAGTAATCTGATAAGAACATTTCAATAAACTGCATAATATTGTAAATGATTGTAATTCGAGTTTTAAATTTACCAATCTAATTTATACCTGAGGACGGTTAAATATAACCGAAACATGTCGTAAGAGACGTTCCAATTTGTAAATCGATCATTCGATGCGGAACGTGAAATGATATTTTAAATATTTTATATTTTATTATCTTATTAAAATTGTGATTTGACGGAAAATATTAAAATATTAACCTAATTCACAATATGACGCAACTATACTACCTTAATTATATTATTGTTAATTTGTTGTATTTGTTGACTGTCTCCTGATGCAGCAGACTAATCACAAATAATGAACTGAAGAGCTTTATACATGCATAAAACTTATAAAATTTAACATTATCAATAATTAAATCGGAACGTGTCAGACAGCCTAATTCTTGATAGCGGAAGAAGATTGCAGTTCTACATAATACTCTTTTGCACTCAATTGTCTAGAAGCTTAGTCTGAGTGTTCGTGATAGTTGCCTATATTAGGGGAAGCATTACTATTCAAAGTGTTTCTTAAAATTCTTTTTATTTGTTTAAAATGAAGAGAAATAAAAACTAAGATCTTGTTACAGAGAACCATATAAAATCAATAATCCAAAGAAGGCAAACTTAATTCGTCTCATTGTCCATTTACGTCGATACGCATAGAAGTTTTAATAGTTGTTTCTGGTTCAGTGGGGCACCATATGTTATGTACAGGCTGTCACAAAACAATGCAACTGCATGAAGGATAAGAAATGACACTAACATCTGCTGTTAATGGAATGCAAAGGATCGTAGACACTTTGTCGTTTCAACTAGGTTTTGTTTAAGACACGTCTTCAGACATGCTCAGCGCATACCCCATCAATATATGACCAAAATAAGGAACAAGAATTTTAAGTTATTGGATGGTACATATTTTCACTACTTTATATCGTCTTGTTTCAAGATTTCTTTCTTGCAGTCCATTAAAGAGTTATGTAAATGTTTTGCCCGAGGTAGACTTTCCCATTAAAATACGTCATGTCTATTCATTCAACATTTTACATTTCATAAATCATATTAATCCTGTTTAACAATATGTAACTCACGAAATTGGAAAAGCTTTGTTAAAATTCGTAACACTATCTTCAAAAACTTTTATTTTCTTATAAGCTAAGTAATATAAAGAAAATATTCTAACGTTAACTCCATGGAGAAGAGTTCTTTTTAGAATCTAATACTTGCTAAGTTAGTAATAAAATTACACATCCTTTATGGAACCAAAAGCCTGTTTACAGGAACCTCTCACTAAATAATATTCTGAGGTAGCTGAAACGAGCTGAAGCCATGAGATCCCATAAATTTAAGATCTATTCTAATAATATCCTCCGAGCTGAGTCAAAGTCTCCCAAGTAATGTTTACGTCAGGGGTTTGTAATAACATTTTGTATAGATAAGAGCTAATATATCAAATAAATTAAAATCGATATTTAGACGTATAAATGCTTCAGGGTATCTGTTATACGTATGTAGGACTGCTATTTATTTTATTCTGTCTATGAATGACAATGAGAAAGTCGTGATCCGAATTCGGGGCGCTACACACTTAATATTAGACTAGCTTTACTGAGGTTCGAGCAAATAAGTCGCGTGAGGAGAGTTTAAATAAAACTCTACACATTTCTACCTCCCGCATTAGATTAGAGGTGGTTAAACAGCGTCACGCTCTAGCCGGAAAATTTCCAAAGAAATTGTCACAGGATTCAATTGGATCCATATTTTAAGTGGGATCTAATGTCACAGAGCTCCTTCGTCCAAGCTTTCAACTCCCCATTTTGACTGGCTGAAATGCCCCGATATTCAGTCATTGTCAGTGACAGGCAAGTTATGATCTACAGCCATTCTCTTACTAGGCTGACCGGTCCGTGGTAACGTCGTTGCAGTTTTATTTCGCTGCCGAATACATCCCATTCACGACAGCACACAGAAGTTGATCAGGGGATGGCGGCTAGCATGAGTCAGTCTCCAGTTGTCTAGTCGGACAGACTCTGTAAAAGGAGCGATACAGATTCTGGACATTTTCTCTGTTGTGGTAAGTTTTTATCAGCACGAAACTAATTCCTCAAGTCTCTCCCAAAACCAGAAATCGATTCCTTGAATGGGCAATGGAAAGGTTTAATAATGTAAAACGTCTTAGGAGCTGAAGCTATGGAGACGATGGTAAACAATAGAACGTACATTCTAGTATGTATCGTGAGCTGGAATATATTAGTCAGTAAAGGGACTGGTTACAGGGTTTGATTCCCGACACGGGAAGGGACTTTTTCTTTAGTGTAAATGAAGGTGTATATTCCTAAGTAGGATTTGAGGTTCCTATTTCGGTAATGGCTGTCTTCTGTGCTGTTACGACGCATTCAATAGCAGAAATTTAAGATAGGAGTTAATGCGTCTTAAGTTAAAAACGCAGTATCATGTACTGCATTAGTTAGCAGGTCACTTTACGTTTTCACTACCTAAATTAGAGTTTTATAACTAGCGGCCCGCGGACCACCTACTCAGCTGGGTCCGTTTGAAAGAGCTAATCTCAATCATCTTTTCGATCGTCCAGTGATCGACGTTAATTTAATTAGACGTAACCAATTGCGTAGGATCCTCTAAACCAGGGGTGGCCAACCCAAATGATCTTTCGGGCCACTTTGGAAATGCATCATAACTCCGCGGGCCACATATAAAATTATAGACATTTTTTTGGAGTGAAAAATTGAAACATAATGAGTTATTATTATTGTGTTTACTATTATTCATTATAAAATAAATATATTTTGTAAAAGTGTGATGAATCTCGCGGGCCGGAAAAATGTTCAAGGCGGGCCACATGCGGCCCGCGGGTTGGCACCCCTGGTTTAAAGCGTCATTAAGCGTAGAGTAACAGTAAAAGTAATAGTAATTAATAACAATAAATGATGAAAAAGTAAACACAAGTTAGGAAATGTCTGGACTCTAGAGCTTAATAATTCTACATTTTGTGTCTGTAAGTGATTCTGATGTTCCATATAAACAGGAAGGGCAGATGACTGAGGACCTTCAGCAGAATAAACGTTGGTCTGCCGTTGTCATGGCAACCACGAAGTC